TATTAAAATCTATATAAAATATTGCCAAAAACGGATTTCGAAGCTTTCCCCTAGTATTCCAATGAAAACCTTAATAGCAAAAATACAACTTGTGAGATGGGACCCTAATAAAAAACCTCCAGGTAACATTCTATTCTTACTAATAGGGGGTTGAACCCATTGTTTCACCATCTTGTTCTCCTATTGATTCTCAAATACCACAATTAACAATCCAATTGTGCCCAACCAAAAAAAATATGGAAATGTCACACCAATCCTATTTTTTTATTTGCGGGAGTTTTAGTAATAGGAAGAAGGGATTAGTTTTCCCATGTTTTCCCTAATTTTCACAAACCCATATGTTTTCCACCTCTGCATTTTTTTCAACGGATTCCTGGGACCAACTGTCTTGCGGAGATTTTGAAACGAGGGACAGATAGGGCAAGACACCCAACAGAGAAAAATAGATATGTCCGAAATGTAGTAAGTCAATATCCCATACCTGCACCCCAATGTCCAACATTGATCCTAAGCGCCTTCAGGAGTCAGCAGCAAAACGCCAGGTGGGGCTGAGGATTCTCATGTCGGGAGGTGGTTCGCTGGCGAGGGTCCCAGTTTGGGTCACTTCGTCCCGTTGAGGAATTGGGACTGGATTGGCTATTGTAGCCAGTTGCCTTCATGAATACGTTCTCCCATGTAGGCAAGGGCTGCTAGGTTGAGGATTGTTAAGGAGGCTTGTGCTTCCGTAAAGTACCCAGTCCAAAACTCCACAAAAACTACAACTGGGGGTCTCAACATAGATACATTGGGCGATCCCATGTGAATCGGATTCCGATCCCAACTTCTCCTTGCGGCCAGTTGTGGGTAGTTGCAACTTCACGAATCATCAGAGTTTGATGTTGTAGTTGTTCACAATATGGTGTTCTCCGCTATATATTTTCTGCAGATACTTGTTTAAAATGTCTAGATATCGACATGATGATAAATCATGGAATTCTTGCTTCGGGACTAAATGTGCCCTGTCAGGCCTTTGAGCAGGCCGGGCTCGAGAAGATACATCTGGCTTGAAAATGTTGATGAAAACTAGATTGACTACATGAACAGCCGGGGGTAATGACTTTCGTTGAGAAGCTCTGATGAAATTCAACCAGTCTTCAAACAGATTGGTTTCGTTTGTGCATGATGTTGCATACAGCATACCCATTGGCCCACGCATCTTTGAATCCCTGAATTTGCTTCAATGGATAATGTGCAGGAAACCTTTGCATTTCTACACTATGCATGTGTATGTATATGTATATATATATATATATTATACATACATTTGTGCATAATATATACGTGTATATTGATATACACATGTATGTTTATATAATTACAGTATATACATACAATACAATGTATGTAGTTGAGGTTTTTCAATTGCCCAACCGCCTTCCAGCGAAAACACCATTCTGGAGGCATGAGGAGTCCTGAGAGCAAAACGCTAAAATCATTGGTGAGTGGAAGTCGAAGTGGAAATTTGTCTTGTCAAGCTGAATCACACGTGGTTAGTTGATGTTAATGGATGAGGGAGCCTATTGTGAATGATTTGGTAATATACTACCGTATATGACCATATGACATATAAAATATCTTATATGTTAGACTTAGATATTATATTGAATGATGATTAGGAAAGGACTTGATGGATATTAATCCCAACTAATATATATATATATATATACCCAAGTATGGGATTTAATCAGCGAATTTTTGGACAATATAGTTGAATCTGTTGATATATGATGATGGATTAATGATGAAGGTTCCTCATGATGATTTGATTGGTCATTGATCTGGATTAATGACTGATTAAGGATTTGGTTTTTAGTTATTGCTTTAATGGATCTGGATCTGGATGAATGATGATTAAGTCCCATCAAATATGGGATTTGATGAGTAAAATCTGGATATATTTATAATTTACTTAAGATTAATGACGGTCGATTGGGAAGTTAAGTAAGATCTTATCATAGGGAATATTCCGTAAAGGACCAAACTTTTGAGGTTAGAATTGGATAATGCTCCGAATAAACTGTTGCTGGTTAGTTGTTGAGGCGCTGGGGAACCAACCAGTAAACAGCTATGTATACATGTGTATGTACATAGATAATATACGTATGATAATATGATACTCTCCCTCTCTCACTCTTCGTGTCTATATCTTGTTTGTATACACACACACATATCAGTGTGCAATTCTGTTGTGACTCCATAGGTCGGCAGTGAAGATCCCATTTCTTGTCCACTCTGGGCGGCATTTCGTTGCTATGAGCCGCCGGTCGAAAAAGGAAGGGTCGAGTCTCGACCGTGGGGCGCCACGCGGTAAACATCAAAGATGTGCCCTCCCTGTGAAAAACCTCGTAAATTGGCATGTGTTGCTGGATGTTAAAATGATGCGTTTTCCGGCCAGCCATAACAACCTCTGAAAATTCACAGTTGTATGAGTTAAGATTTTGTTTGGCCCTGGGAACCACAGATGAATGAAAATTACCCCATTTTCGGACCATAGAATTGTGGGCGACACGATGACTTCGCTCATTTGGCACAATGTGGTGAACTCCATTGTCATTGGAAACGAAACATTCGAAAGAGGTGAGTCCCCAGAAATCCAAGAGAAATTACTCTTGCATCATGCATCTTTGAGCTTCCCTGAAAAACAAGAAGTAGAATGTTTAGACGCCTACACACCCGTATACGTGCACAGCCAGAAGAGCACTTTGAAAGGTCCAACTTGGAAGTGTGTTCGTGTGTCCGTATCAACTTGTTAGCTAGGTCAGCTACGTACAGTCAGCAGAGAGTAGTCTATGAAAAATAGTGGCATGATTGAATTTGGGGAGATGATAGTGAATGAATTGATGATTTTTGCGAAGAAGTATGTCACATGGCTTCATTCCGCTCGAAAACTGTGCTTTCACATTCAACTCTCCAGCTCTGCAGCTCCCCAGCTCACTGTCTCGTTGCTGGAGAGGTACGCCACCATGATCACCAAACTCTGCAAGAACAGCGCAGTGCGACTTTCAATCCTCTTAGGTCGTCTGGCTGCGGAAACTGATGAGGCGAAATTGTGGTTCTATTATGTTCTACTGCTGATTTTTTGGTGTTTTTTGAACCTGGGTAGATCCTGGTCGGACATCTACAAAACCGGCTCCACAAGGTGCCATGTTTTTGCGTTTCTCAACTTCTTTGAAGTTCAGCAGCTTCTATAGTTAAAAAACATCAAACACTAAGTTCAGTTTTCGGGTTTGGAGCACCATTGACATCCATTGACTCTCAAGCTGAATTTTGAGGTTTATCCTCTGCATTGGTGGACAATGTGCCACTTGTGGAGGTGGGTCGACGGGGTGCCCCGATTGGGCCACGACTTCACCGTAACGGTCCGTAAGGGTCGTCGATTTCAAGGGGTCACTACCTGCCCTGAAAAATATGAAAATGGATGAAAGAGGGGACCATTTCCCCAAAATACATCAAAATACAACATGTCCTGTGGAGTTCTCATCAGTGCCCAGTGCTACCAGGCTGAAAAAGAGTCGTTTCTGGTTGTTTGGGGTCCAACCCGACATATGCAAGTTTTGGGCCAGTGCATTTTCGTGGTTGTGAAGAGAATGCTACTCAAACCCAACATGGAACTCAAAAAAACATGGGGTCGTGGAACTTGATTTTGCCATTGAAATTAGATACTATTTAATAGCCATTTTTGGATCAAATGGGTGTGTCTGAGAATGGGTTGTACCATGTTGTACCCTCAAAACATCAAAAAAGGCAATTCCATAGGGAAAGCGATGATAAAGAAACCCGTAGGATTCTTGCGGTACCCTGATCAGACAAACCAGAATGAATATCATACATGATCATCCCCAATCTCCAATCATGGTGATTATCCCCCATATCGTTTAATAGCAATAGACATACCCCGATCATGGTATATCCAATGCATTCCAATTACATCCCCATGTCTCCGTTGTATATATATAGTTTTTTTTTCAGAATCCATGATCCCAAGCCATCGCGAAGGCATCCATTGACATGTTCCGAGAGGCCCGTGTTTCGTGGCCCCAGGGTGAAAGATCAGCAGTTTCAAAACCTCGAGTTGACCTGCAAAAAATCATGGGACCTGGAGATTTCTCAGCAGAAAATATGGGTTTTAACTTTTTAACCATCAAAAGATGGTTGGTTGATGATTGTAGAGATTTGTTGAAATATATGTGTTTACGCGGTCCAACACGTTGAGGATTCTCATGGATTATCAAAATTCATCAGCTGGATATTCCTCAAATGATGTTGGATGAACATCCCAATCTACTTTGTTCATGTGCGTTAATGTACAATATGTATATATTTATATATATATATATTATCGAAGGAAGTTTAGAAGTCAAACTTCCGACAATATGGACAGATGAAAAGCAGAGATGGGAAGAGTCAGAGAAGAGAAGAGAAGAAGAAAGAGAAAGTCTCAGAAGAAAGAAGATCCAGGTGCGCGAAAAGGTAGGAAAGTCGCGAAACACTATGTTTTTCCAATGATTTGTGGCTCCAGAAGGTCGAAAAGTAGGCTCGCTAAAGCGGCAGGTGCGGAGCCAGCTGGCCAGATGAGAGATGAAAAATTGCACGCCGTTGTGGCGCGAAGCACATTTGCCAGTGAAAAAGCTAAAAGCACCTGACGTTCGGAGCACTTTTCGAAGTTGCGATGTCGAAAAAGTGCACGCCGTTGTGGCGCGAAGCACATTTCCAAGCCAAAATGTATACAGGGAACTGCTAAAGTCGTCTCTTTTTGTGTTGTTTTCAAGAAATCAGTTGCGGAACAGTGTTTTGCAGAAGTCGTCTCTTTTTGGCTTCCCGCAAGCTGAATGCAGGATTTGTGATGATGTTTTGTTTTGACCCATTATTTTGTAAATGTTGCGTTTAGGTTGGTGTTTGCATGAAAACACTCAGGGATCTTGTTGCTTAAATGTTGCGTGGCCTTGCGGTTTGGCTTTATCAGCAATCCTTTTTTCAGTGCGATCATCCCTCCGTGTTTCCAAGCCTGGCATGGTGCTTGAAGTTTCAGTTGGTGCTCAGGCGCATTTGGTTGAAAACGAGGGTTTGGTTTTAGATTCCTCTTGGGAGATAGCACGAAGAGAGAGAGAGAGAGAGAGAGAGAGAGGAGAACAACTCCATGCAAAGGGGACAGTAAGATTCTGTTGAATGATGCAAGCAATAATATGTGATAATATGTGTAGGGCACACTTAGCTCCTTGACTAGCATTAACTCACATGTAAAGCTAGGATTTGTTGCAGATGTCTGTCAGGAAAACCTTCATTTTCCGTTCAGGTGGTTGGGAAAAACTATAAGCATCTTCTCAGCTGAAGTTATCACAAGTGTTGGCTTAGTCAAATGGCGTTCAAATATTGAATAGGAGTTTAGTGAAAAGCTGTAACGTCCAAATGCTGCTTTCTCGATGCTAGATGTTGTGTTTCCTAGGTACCAGAGACTGTAAAGAAAGAAATTGACTTTACATTTGGTTTATTACCTTGCAGTAGGTTAATTAGCTTTCAAAAGCCAGTTATGTTTTTAGTGTGTGATCTGATCTCAGATTTTGGTAAACTTTCGATTGTGGAATTCACAATGAGCCGGTGGCAAGCCATTGTTGCGTCACCAGTGGGAGAAAATGTTGACTTTTGGTGTTGGTGGCAGGTGGTGGTTTTGGTGGTGTTGTTAGTGGCGTTGGGTGCTGGATTTTCTTGTGGCTGTTGCTTTGTATGCTGCTGGGCGCCTTTCTCCTCGTTCGGGCTTGGGAATACACTTTTGTGGGGTCTTGTTTTTTTAACCCCTGGCAGGTCCTACAGCGTGATGACCAACAAAGTGGTCAAACAGATGCTTGGCTGGGCTTTCTTCTAGGCTTGCGTTGGTGCCTGGGCCGTATGCGATCTCGTGGGCTGCTCGCTTGTTGGTATGTTGTTGGTGCTGCTGGTGCCAAATCTGTTGGTTGTGGTGGTGTCTCGGTCACGGGGTCGCTCACGTATGCGTTTTGCAGGGTCGCCCACGCATGCGTTTTGGGGTCGCATATGCATGCGTTCTCACATACATCATATCATCAAAGAAAGTTGGGAAGCAGATACGGACAAATAGGATTGTGATGAAGGGTGGTGTGAAACTTTATACTACATAACAATGTATCACAAAAGAATTGACCTTGATGAAGGATATGAAGGGTGGTATGTGGCGCATGCATGCGTTCTCACATACATCATGTCATATCATATCATGCGTTCTCACATGCACCGACACACAGCAACACAGAGACGCGACGCATACATACACACGTACCTGCATTCATGCACACAGATGTATGTACATGAGTCGTTATGTAGCATACTTGCTTCATCCCTTTATTGTATGTTTCATTCATATATATGACTCTTTACAGGGAGCTGGGAACGGTGAGACCCCGGCAAGAGTCGATAAAATATGCGAATATATCCCACAGAGACGCGACGCATACATACACACGTACCTACATTCATGCACACAGATGTATGCACATGATTCGCTATGTAGCATACTTGCTTCATCCCTTCGTTGTGTTTTTCATTCATATATATGACTCTTTACAGGGAGCTGGGAACGGTGAGACCCCGGCAAGAGTCTTTAAAATATGTGAATATATCCTATCCTTGTTACGGTCACTCATATATATATATATAAATATGACTCTTTACAGGGAGCTGGGAACGGTGAGACCCCAGCAAGAGTCGATAAAAAATATCAATACATCTCATCCTCACGCTAATGTCTTGAAGCTTTGCAGTCTCTTGAGTCGCTATGTAGCATACTTGCTTCATCCCTTCATTGTATTTTTCATATATATATATATGACTCTTTACAGGGAGCTGGGAACGGTGAGACCCCAGCAAGAGTCGATAAATTTACCAATCAAAGCCCGACCCCATCTGGTTGGAATTGAGTTTTTCTCGCTGCTTACCGAGGAGAGAACTCGACGAGTTGCCCGTGACCTCTTGGAGACACATTCCCATTTGTTTGAGCATCTCCAGCGGCTGCAGCAGAACAACGACAACCAGCATGACCATGGTGTTGTGGGACGTGTTCCTCCAGCCGTTCGTTCTTGTGAGTTGTGCGGCCGCGCTAAGCATCGTGTTCGTTGGGTGTACAGTACCTCCGGCAAAGGCAAGCGCAAACCTAGCGGTTCTTCGTGCTTTGCTTGCTGGAAAACCTGTGTGCGCCTCCTGCGTTGCAGTCGCAGCCCCAGGCTTTTGAGAGAGTCTGGTGCCATTGGAGTTGTGAAGGATCTGAGCTTGAAAGTCCAAAGAGACCTGGGATCAGAGGATGTTTGCACGTGTGCTTCGTGCCGTCCAACCAAGTGATGGCTTTGACTTGGGGTTTCCACCAGGGGAGTCGGGTGGGAAAATTGGTCGCAACGCGTTGCTGCAAAGTCTTTGATTGCAGCAAAGTTTTTTCCAAAAGCCTTCCTCTTGTTTGCCATGAATCTACTCTAGAAGTTGGCAAGGGATGTCACGGTTGCTTGTGTATGCTCTGTCGCCCAGCAAAGCTTGCATTGACGTTCATACAGGCAGATGTTGAAGACGGTACCGGTGGTATAAAATAGAGCTGTTCCCTTGTAAAAAGAAGTCAGGTGAAGGCGGTACCTTTAGCGTTTAATATGCGTTTCACAGAGATTGGATTATACATGCCAGACCTTGGATCATCAAAATGAAAAGACATGCACTTAAAATGAAAGGATACGAATACAAGAAGCAAGAACATGAATGCAAAATGAAGGAAATAAATGCGAAATGAACAAAAGCAATGCGAATGAATGGAAAATAATGCAAGTACAGTAGGTGGTGAAAGGTGTGCTTGTTCAACTTCCAAAAGGTCTGCCTAGCCGGAGTCCCGTTGGGAGAGAGAATCAGTAGCTGAGATATTCTCATGTTTTAGCTGCTCATTGTCTTCACAACAAGTGCCAGCTCAAGTGGAGCAATCCCGCAACAGAAGCTCATGGCGAGCTCCTGGACAAACCATATAGACTGACCTCGTATTGTCCTCGTAGCGGACCTCGTATACATGCATCATCATGCACCCTTTTCCACCACAGTTTTTGATATGCAACGCTTCTGTCCAAACCTGACTTGTGAATCCGGAGTTCTAGTCTGAATTAAAACACACTACGTCACTACGCATGAGATTCTGGCAGGAGTAGTCTTGAGAAGCGGAGTTCACATGGGGATTTGCTCAAGTGGTTTGGGCAGGTCTGAAGCATTAGTAAAAGCCAGCGTTCCGTGGGAACGGTGAGTGATCAACCAAATATGTTAGTAGTTTGTGTACCGGCGTTCCATTGGAAAGAGGCTTCTGGAAGTGATCGTTTTCACGTCTACCAACCGTAAGCGTTAAAGCATTTCGATTGGGTTTCATAGTCCAGATCCTGCCTTTTCTGACTTAGCTGTGGCCACGACAGTCCATGCAGGAACACATATTCTAGCACCATCGGTCCCGCCTTCAACGTCCACATGTAGGCCTTGCGTTTGGATGCCAAGAATTTATCCTCGAAATTAGCATGGGATGTCATTTTTGCTTGCGTATGCTTGGTCGTCTAGCAAAGTTTGCGGAATTTCATTTTCTCAAAAGAATAATGCTTGATTACGTCACAGTGGTCGCACGGCCTCATGCGTGGCTGAGTAGCTCTTTTGTCATTTCTCCTATTTGATAGCTGACCGTGTTCAAGACATGTGCCAGGAAGATTCATAGCATGGACGGTGGGCAACATGGCTCCAAAGAAACTTTCTGGAGCACAAATTGCCAGACTCTCCGTGCCCAATTTGTACCACCATTTGGATGAGTGGGGTGTTGAGCACACTGGAAAGGACCTCATATCAGAGCTGCGCGGCAGGCTTGAAAGAAAAATAGTAGATTCAGAAGCTAAAGCAGTTGCCGTTGCCAATGATGCGCTCGTTCCCGCTGTTGCAGCAACGCAGCCAGGACTTGGATGTGGCCGGATGTGTCTAGCTGTGAGAAACATCAAAGAGATTAATTTTTGCATCTCGTTCGTATCTCGTTCGCCTATCTCGTTCGGTTTGCTTACATTTCTGCATTTCCCTGACAAATATTTGCAATGTTGGTCTTAGTGGCTTTTATTATCTCACTTGCTCCCTGCAGGAGATGACGCGAGCTTCGCAGATTTTGCATCACCTCCTTTGCCTCCACCAGCCATCGCTCCTGAGGATCAGTTGGCAGTGTGTGCCGATTGCGGTATGGAACTGAATGCTGCCAACCGGTCGGCTTTGGCAACTTACTGTCGCAAGTGCTTCTTTGTCAATGTTGCTGCCAATAGGCGCCAATTGAAAAAGCCACCTCAAGACGCTGAGCATTGCATCCTTTGTTCTGTAGAACTGTCAAGCGACAACAAGAGTCCTACTCCAGCTTGTTGCCACGCTTGTTGGGAAAGCCAGGAAGCTATTGCTGAGGCTTTGCAGGCGCAAGTGGCAGCTTCTGACGTGTCGGAGGCGGCAAAGCCTGTGAGCCAGCAAGTTGAGCCAAGCGTTGCTTCAGACATTCCGGATGGCAGCAGCTTCAATTGGGCCCGTCAGACCCGAGAAAGTGAGACCGTTTGGCATGCCCGTGTGCAAGGGTTCTTAGATGGACCAGACTGCAAGAAGCAAAAGGATTACATTGAGACATGGAAGAAATTCACCCAGGAGGAGAAGGAAGCGTTTCGCGCCATGGTAAAGTCCAAATGCAGCAAGGAAACATCAGCTAATGCCTTGTCAGATGCGGGGCCCAAGATGACTGGGAAGCCTTGGTATGCTATGTCTGGAGAGCTTCGCACCATCTGCCTTCCTGAGAATTATACTGTTGATCGTTTGCGCTCTGACTTCGCCAAGTTCGCAGAATCAGCTGCCGCAATTGCTAGCAATGACCAAGCTCGATGGGAAATGTATTGCTTGATATTCTTGCTTCTGCGTAAGCCAGATTCAGGTCTGGCGAATGCCGCTGCAGCCGAACGGGAACTAGGAGATCTACACGTCAATCGGAAGCGGCTCTACCAGATGGCCAAGAACTACGAGGAGCCGCTTCCTCGAGATTGTCCTTGTGAATTTAAAATTGGACGCACTCCCGACACAAGCCTTAGCCATCAAGAAAAGGAGGACATTCTGCTTTTTGTGAAGTATCACGAGAGAACGGGTACAGCACTTTCTGTAGAGCAAGTGGAACAAGCAATAGCAGCCAAGCTTGATTATTTGAATCTTGTGTGCTTTTTTTTTTGCCTAGGTTACCCGGTTTCCATACACCTGACTGCAAATAGCAGGGGAAGAAACCACCAATGATTTACAAACACTGTTGTTCATGAGTCCTCCGCATGACACTACAAGGTATTGATGAAGATGAGTAAGTTGAGCTTGTTCGATGATATGCACGCAGTGGATGAAAGTTCATTGAAGCAACGTGTCAATGACCTACGGCCGCTGTATCAGACCACGAGTCTCTGGAGAGGCTTCAAAGATTGGGTCGCAAAGCACAAGCCTGAACGCGATGCCCTGTCCTTGAGCAAATTGAAGACCAAGACTTTGGTTGAGATCACTAGCTGCGAACCCCACATTGTGTCACAAGCTTTTACCACTTTGGAAAATATGTTAGAACGAGCGCAGATCATACACAATGGCCGGCTGGTGCCCAGCGAATGCTCTCGTGTGGCTGTTTGCGATGAGAAAGGATTTTCATCCAGGCAGGTGGGTTCCATACATGTTTGAAACTTTCCATACCCCTGAAAGGCTCCCGGCCCAAAATCTCCATGTTTCAAATTTCCACAGAAGCCTTTTTGGACCAAAGCTGCCTGCAAGGTCAGATCAGCACGTTCGTGGAGTAGTGACAAAGGAGATGAAGGGAAAGAGCTCCACCAGCATGACAGCGTGTTCTTTCGACCACATCACGGTTTGCAGCTTCATGCCCTTACTTGGGGAGCCACTACCTCCTGGTGTCATTTGCCCTTTCAAGAAGGTCAATACGCATTGGCAGGAATGTTGGCAGTCAGCTCGCTTCTACGCCCACGACTCAGGTTCTCAGACCCCGCACAGTTTCACGGACATGCTTCTCCATTGCTATTTGAAACCCATGCGGGTACGATGGCCAGACCTGCAGCAACGCCTAGTTCTTTGCATGGATTCTGGAGGAGGAAGTCTTCTCCACCTCACAGTGGAGACGGCAGTGGTATGTGAAAGATATGCTTGCGACGTCTTCCTGATTCCTAGCTACTGCACCAAAGCAATGTGCGCCCTGGATCAGCAGCCGCATGCCAGGATGTCGTTGCAATGGTCGTCGTTCAAGCGCCAGTTTGCTTTGCAGCAAGGGGAGCTAGGCGTCATTCCAGCCTTGAGAGCATTGAAGCTCATTGTGACCGAAGCTCTTTCCTCCAAGCATTCGGCTGCTGGATGGGCACATGTAGGCCTTGTGCCTGGTGAGCCTATCAACCGCAACAAAGTTCTGCTTGATCGATTTGATGAATGCTTTCAATCCAAAAGGTCTGGAGCAAAGCTAGAAGAAAAGCCAGAATCTAAAGGTAGTGCAGTCCTCGACCTGGTATCCAAAGTGGCTCCAAAGAAAGAGAAGTGCAGCAATCCAGATTGTCGAAAGGCCTTCGCTGTCACCTACAAACATTGTCCCAGCTGCGGTGCAGAAAACTCGCACTTTGACGCCCAAGAGCTGATGCTGAGCGGTCCTGGCAAGAAGTCTGGTTGGGTAAAAGGTAGCTTGCACATGCTCAGTACAAGAAAGCACGTCTTATTTTCATTCATTTGCGACATTTTTTGAGGCCTAGATGTGAAATGGCAATGGCTTGCTAATCATTTCTCCATGCCCTGCTCCTCTCAGCCTTACTCAGGTCTGACGGAAGCCATTGAACCGGAGACAGACAAGGAGAGATTGTTGGCAACCTCTGCCACTGATTGGCTCAGTGCTGTCCGAAAGAGAAGTTCAACTGCAGCTCTGGCTCCATGCACTCCAGCGCCTGGGACCCCAGCACCTTCCACACCAGCGCCAAAGCCTGCGGCTGCAGCACCTTCCACTCCTCTCAAGACCTTGAAGGGCACCTCGTCACTTCAGCCAGCAGAAGGTGAACAAGGTCCTATTTTAGCAGCTCCTGCCAGTGCAAGTTCATCTTCAAAGGCAAAAGCTCCGGGACACCTTGAAGGCAAACAAAAGGAGGAAGCTTCAGAGGAGTCTCCAGATGATTTCGACTTGGAGTCCCCGGAGGGAGCACAAACATTCCTAGAAGCCTTTTGGCGCCGTGAGAAGCGTAGTGAAGTTAGACCGGTTATACAATATTTTTTGTCAGAATTGAAGAAAGAAAGCACCAAGTCAAAGACCATGGCTGACTTGATCCAGCTCCGTGTCACAAAACCAAAGATTCTTAACACA